CTAGAAGGATTATGACTGTTCCTGGCAACTCTAGTGTTTGCCAGACACCCTCTATTTTTGTATAGAAGCCCGGTAAATAAGGCGGAGATGAAGAGTAACGGCATATATAATTGCAGATAGGGAGATATAGTGACGGATAATCGAGTCAAGTGAGCGGTAGTGACCGTAAGTAAAATGCGTGAATCGTTGTGAATTATAGCGTATGTTTAAGTTAAAGTGACTGTGGAAATTAAGTGTATTGCAAAGTTGTATTGAGAAAGAATAAACTAGTTTTATTTAAGAAAGAACTTGTATCGCTGAAGTTCTTCGGGAATAATTTTTACGGGAAATTAACAAACGACCAGAGACGTAACAATATGGAATAATAAAAGTTTTTAATCTATTGCACATGTTGTAACACAAACCCGTGCCAGTTTTTGAAATTTTATACTCTATTAATAGTGAAAAAGCTAATAGGCTCATTGAACGAGTGTGTTTCTTCTGAGAGGTGATATGATACGATACACACACACACACACACACATATATATATATATTTGTTTAAAAAACAAAGAAAAATGTAGTGGTAGAACAATTCCAACTAGGGGGCGCTACCTAAAAATATCTTAGCGGGTTGTTTGTTTACATTTGTCAAATTTGGTTTTTTTGTGCTTTATTAAACTTTCCTAATTATTTTATATTATTATTGTGATGATTTCTAGTAATTAATATTGTAACATTACTAATTGGTAACGAACTTGTGAAGCAAAGCCCATATGTTTTGTCTTGTCAGTTTTCGAGTCTAGAATTCCTCAAGAATACGTGAATCAGTTTGTGACTTTGTCATGATTCATACTGTTCATTAGTTCATAGCATCATACAATGATACATACATGCTCAGTCATGTTGCTGTTTATAGTTTAAAGTTGAAAAGTAAAACTAGAACCCAAAGGCGCATCATTCGATGAAGCTTGATCTAGAGGTGGTAGCATCAACATCAATCAAGCGTAAAAAACCATGGCCGCGTTTTATTTGGCTTGGACTTGGACGAGAAGGAGAGGTAATGATTGTCACACTCAAGCTTTCATTTTCAAAGTGTAGTTTAGTTGTTAGAATTTAACTTTTTAGTTATTTTTAAAATAATATCGCGAGGGTTAATGTTTAGTTAAAACTAAAAGTTAAACTTGTACCATACGTGCTTGTTCCGTTAGCTAGTAAATCATAACCATGAATTCACACACTTTCTTATTAAAGCTGTACAAAGTAGTAGAACTGATTGAGTGATTCTGATTTGTACAATTTGTACTTTGAAGATAAGTAAGGTGTTAAATGCCAAGACTGAACTTAATTCCATTAGATTGTAGTCTTAGGACTAGAAATAGAATAGTATATCTCTACTGGTGTACAGGTATACAGAATGCTGTGAAGACAGAAAAGGGTAATTTTTTTTTCATTTGACTTTCACCTCATATAACTCTGGGATTGGTCACTTAGATATTTTGTATTAGTCCAGAAATTTTACACTGAGAGCAACCCTAAAGGGCGAGCATGTTCAGTGACAGAGATTCAAAGTCGTAACCCTCAGGTTGTGAGTCAAGCACCTTAAACATCAGGCCAGAAGAGGATAGCTTAATGCAAGGAGCTAAATAATGTGTTGTTGTTTTATCAAGTTCATGTTCAAGTTTGTGATATTTGTAAATGTAATGGTACGTCAGGAGATTTAAGGATTTATCAACAAGGAACAGAGATTTACTTTGGAGCTTCCAGAGCAAAAATGATATATTACAGCTCTTTCAAATTTCAGGACTATATTAGTTGTCAGAAGGAAATATTGACCAGATGAAAGATTGTCTGGGGAATTTTTGGATCACTACGCTAGCCACTTAGATTTCTGAGGCAGATTTAAGCCTAAGTTTATATATAACTTTACAAGTGAAAGGAAACATGTCATGCATTATTTAATTTTACATATAGGGAAATTGAAAATAAGCTTAGTTCCTTTTATAGTAACAAAAATATTATTTGCAGCAAGTTGCTAGAATTTGAGGTTTTGTTTGAAATCAACATGTTAGATGTCATTGAGCCTTCTCTTGGCAAAACTAAATTTATGAAAGTATTACTGCATAAAGTATTAAATTATTTGATTGTGCTCATGAAAATAAAATTTTGGTGTTCTAGTTTGTTGTTTTGGTGATTGAAGATGTGATTTGATTACCTGAATAACATTCTGCTACCTTGCTTTTTGTGTGTTCTTAGTTTTAGTTACTTTGGATTGGTTGATGTTTTAGTTATATTGCCACTTGCTACTTTTCACACAGAAATTGAACTGACATGGTACAAATTTGTCAAGGAAAACCAAATATCTGCAGACTCATTCTATGCTATTTATATAAAGTCACTACACTTGGTAGTATCAGTATCCATTTGCTGCATTTATGTTGATTTTAAAAACTTCAGACGTCTATGGCTTAAGGATTTGCATTGCCAGATACATGTAATATTATTAGATAAATGCATAGGCATAGTGTAAAAAGCTTAACTGAAATATAAAACTGCTTTATTTTTTTATAATGATAATTCTTAGAAGTCTGTATTTTCATTCACCTTTTTTTCTCTTTGTATAAGAAAAATGATAAATACATCTATTCATAATCCTGACTGTAGCATAAATGTATTTTTTAAAGGAATACAAACCACTTTAGTTTGTTGCCTACTTTCATGATTTAGGGGAACTAATATTCTTCAAATCTTTCAAAGTTTACTCTTTTTAGTTTAATTTTTTGTTTTGTAGAATTTTATAATATTTGTTAACACTAAAGCAAGTTGTGTTAACCCTGGAATTACCAATGAGATCATGTGAATTAAGTCTTTGGATTTATAATGCTTAAATCTGGGGTTCAATTCCCCACAGTGGACACAGCAGATAGCCCAAGATGGCTTTGCCGTAAAACAAACAACAACATGTGGATTGTGTGGACTCTATTTTTTAAAAACTTTTTGAAAGTATTTATGCATCAGTTTGCTTGTCATGACTTTGATACATACAAAACCCAAATCAAAAATTTGTCACGCAAACAAATTTAAACAAATATACCATCTATATTTCAACTAGTTCAACTAATTTCAGCATAAAATTATTCATTGTGATGATATACGTGGACTTCTACCAACACTGAACATTATAAAAACAAATCAATAAATTGAGGGTTGAACAGTCCTTGCATTGGCACAATTGTATGTAAATTTGGTGTTGATACAAAATTGTGAGATAAATTTTTTAACTTTAGAGAAAATATATTTATCCTAACAATTTCGTTAGTTGAATGAGAAAAATACTAGCACTTTTAGTCATAAAAGTGTTCAGATTTGTTGTCATGAATAAGATTCAAAGAGAAAAATTTATGGCTAGTTTTTTAGCTTCTCTTGTAATTCCAAAGTGATGAACCTTTAATTGTTTTTAGGTGTTTACATAAATATGTATAATTGAAAAAATATGGTTTAATTCACTAAAGAAAATTTTGAACAAATAAAAGTAAAATAGATATTTGTATTTTTTATATGTGTTTACAGATACGTATAGTTGAAGGAAATATAGCTTACTTCATTAAAAAACTTTTCAAGCAAACCAAAGTAAATTGGATAATTGTAGTTTTAACATGTTTCTTTAAGTTGTTTTATATTCCTTTGTTCTTGTATATATATATATTTTTTAGTACTCTGTATTTTAACATTTTACTCAAAAGTTTTCTTGAGTGATTGATATATGTTTATGAAAATCTTGATCTTTGTGTAAAATAGGCACAGTTAACTTTTTCTTTTAGAGATTTCCCACAAATGCTATTTGCAAAACATTAATAAAAACTTTCTTGATAATTATTTCTTATTTTTTCTTAGTTAAGTAAAGCATAAAATAACATATTCTTACCTATATTTCTTGACAAGAAAAACGAAAGTATTTTCATGGTGGATAGACAGAGAGTCAGTACTTTGCACCTTCCATCAGGACGCAGCAAGAAAAAGATCCCACGATTACAGCCACATCTGTGTGATGTTGTTGCAACAACTGACGTTAATGGTAATTCTGGACAAATCATCATGTTTATTATATAGGTTTAATAATGTGTTGAAAAATCACTTTCTAAGCATTTAAATTTTTGAATAAATGCTTTGAAAATTTATGTAGACGGTTTAGCTTATGTGGGTGGACTGAAAGTATTAAACACAATTGTAAAAATATGGATTGAGGGGTTTCCTTTTAAGTAAGATTGAAATAAGTCACTGTTTATATTGTATTCATGGTGAAAAGAAACATAGGTTTTATTGAAGATTGTGGTACAAATGCTTTCAGAGAGGACAATAGAAATGAAGGACCTTTTCTTGTGTTTTATTAAATATATCAAAGCTTTTGATAGAGTCAAATATGTGGAATTAATGAAAATGCTAAAAGGACTGAACATTGGTGGTAAGGACTTGAGAATTTTAAGAAACCTTTATTGGAACCAAACTGCAGCAGTGAAGTAGAAAATAAATTGATTTCATCCAAATTAAAAGAGGGGTGAGGCAAGGCAGTGTCTTTTCATTTGACTTTTTAAATTTGTACAGTGAGAAACTCCTGAGGAAGATTGAGGATTTACCAAGGCTGATCTGTGGTAGACAGAATTTGAACAACCTGCATTATGCTGATGACACAATTTTAATAGTTAATTTAGAAGACAAGCTGCAAAAAATTTTAGGTCAGGTTGTTAGTGAAAGTTAGAAGAAGAGTTTAACTATTAACTGTAGGAAAACAGAATGTGTGGTAATTATAAAGAAGATCATTCCCGTGTGCAATGTTAAAGTAGATAAGGAACAGATATGGCAGGTCAATAAATTCAGCTACCTGTGAAGCTGGATAACATCAGATAGTAAATGTAATCATGAAATAAAATGGATAATATGGATGGAAAAAAATGCATTTCTAAAAAGAAAGATACTGACAAATAGTAAAATTTCTATGGGGACGAAGTTAAGAGTGTTGAATTGTCATTATACCACTTATCACGTGTGCATCAGAATGTTGGACAATATCGCCAAGTGTGGAAAAGGGAATTGAAGCAATTGAGTTGTGTTTCTTAAGGTGCATCTTGAACGTATGTTGAACAAATCACACCTGAAATAAAGATATTTTGTCAAAAGCAGATTGCAGGACGAAGCTGCTGACTAATATCAGAAAGAGAGAGTTGAAGTTTCTAGGACACGTTATGAGGAAAGAAAAAATTGAAAGTCTGGTTATAACTGGAAAGATTGAAGGAAGGAGAGACTATGTAAGACAGAGGTTGACTTACGTCAAGAGTCTATTTAAATGGATAAATGTAGCAATGTTGGAAATGTTTTGTGCCTCAAGGAGAAGAGATCTGTTGAAAACCATGGTCACCAACATCTTGTTTGGATATGGTACATATAGAGAGATCTATGGAAAACCATGGTCACCTACGTACTGTATGAGTATGGTACATAGAGAGGGAGAGATCTGTACAAGGCCATAGTCACCAATGTCCTGTTTGGATATGGTACATAGATTTTGACATTTGCATTTGAATTATGTTTGATAGATGGAATATTCCCAGCACGTTTGGATGCTATGACCACATAAATGTTTTTAGCAGTTGATGAAGACTGATAATGGACAAAGTTTTCTGTTTTTAGGATAGAATCTCATAACAGACATCTCAGTTTTGTTTTTTATACTAACTTCCATCATTGTTATATAGTGCTGATTTGATTGCCTATATACAATTGATGTAATTTATAGTATTAGAACTATGTAAAAGTAACAAAAAATTGTATTCTAAAATTGTAAGGATGGAAAAATATCAGAAACTAGAGAGCATTACTAATTTCTGCATTCCACCACTCGTACACTTCACTCATAGGGTGGATGCATATATGCATTAGGTGGTGTAATGCAGATTTTCTTCCCATCCCAAATGCTCTCTAGTTTCTGATCTTTTTCCATCCCTATATTCCAACAATTTTAGAGTAACATTTTTTGTTAATAGTTTCTGCACTTTTTATAAGTTGAAGTCTTGGCTTCCAGTGTGGCTGTAACTTCTAAGTGGAAGGCACCATTTCACCAACTTATTCTGTCCTATTCTATAGGGAGCCATAATATAAATGTTACTTCTTGAAGCAAGTTGTGACTAGGATACTGCACAGCACAATAAGAGTATACAGTAGATCACCTACTTCCATATAATGCACATAATGGCTTGCTGATCAGAGACCGTGATTAGTACTTTTGACTGTAACTAACCTATCATTGATAACTTGCTGCTGTAGGTTTGAAAAGGTGCATCCTAGGGAGTAGTGAAGTGTTTTGGTGTGCAGACTGACGTAGGCACACTGTGGTTTACGAGTTACAGCTGATGGAGAAGAAGAAGAAAATCAGTGTTTTTGCAGCCCATTTTTTAGATATCAAGGAAGGTTAGCTGAACTGTAGAAGCAGTTTTGTACTTGATTAGTGAAGGGCTTTTTGTCTCTATTCCTTTGATTGGGTTTTGATAACATACTTGATACCATACGCAATATACAGACTGCCATTTTTAACCAGACCCATCCCTATATAGGGATTGCTACCACACTCCCTCATACATGTATTTGTATATTGAGAGAAGACATAAAAGTATAACAAAATACATACAGTTATGTTTCAGTCTAGCTGTTATTAAGCCATACCAACCATTTCATTAATTTGTTATTTGTTTGTCATTAATATTTTTATGCTACAACTTACTCGATAAGACTGTGTATGTGTATGACTTGAACCAGTAAAAACAAAAATTTTGCTCATTGTAATATTTAACCTTCAAAATCTAACCAGGTAACTCTAATTTTATAACTTAAGATGCATGGAACAATTCAATTTCACAAAATATTGTATTTATATGCATTAAAACTTTTTGATGTTTTTGCATTGACCTTACACTGACTCTCTTGATATACATTAGTACATGTACTGATAGTTGTGGAATTTACCAGTGATGGCAATTCAACAAGTTGTGTACATGTTATTTAGAGCATTTGAAATGAATCATGTTTCACCTGCTTTTACTTCTAAATGGAAAAAGAAAGTATCATTGGTTGACATGTTATCATAATGCTTTTTAAAAAATCATTCTTTTATCATTCTTACATGAAAGTATTGGCATTTGGAAGAGAAATGGTGAGCACTAATATTTTGTAACCAAAAGTGGTTTAAGATGTAGTCTGTATTTTTTAAATATATTTTTCATGCACAAAGTTTTCTTTATTATTTGTTATTCAGGGTCCTTTTTTGGAGGTATTCAGTATAATGGAGATATATTTCTCTGGCATAAGGACTCTGATCATCTTTGGTGGATTAAAGGAATACCAGAACTTGTTACCTACCATGCACAGAACAATCATGAGGGTAAAGAAAATAGAAGAAAAGGTAATCAGGCTTATGATGCATTAGTTCATGATGTAGTACTTCTTTAAGTATGGAAGTGTATACATGTGTTTAAGATTTGTTTAGAAAGAAATGGTATTTTATTTCCTATTGGCTAGCCATATCAGATGACAAGCAACAAATACATACAAATGATGGTGAGGATTTAGGCATCTGGACATTACTTCTCAACATAGTCACTGTTAAGTATAATACATTATTCTATGAGCTTCATCAGACTTGGTAAAATACAGATTATGAGTTCAAATACTTACAATGCAGAATGCTTGTGAAGATACCAAAAATATGGAAGTCATTGGATATTAGATCAGGACTTTGTGAGATTGGGGAAGCATTGTTCATCCTGACTTCTCAGCTACAATTGTTACATGAATCCATGCCACCAAACATGCTTGCCCTTTCAGCCATGGGGGCATTATAATGTAACAATTAATCCCACTATTTGTCAGTAAAAGAGTAGCCCAAGAGTTGGCAGTGGGTGGCATTAACTAGCTGTCTTCCCTCTTGTCTATCACTTCTAAATTAGGAGTGACTAGCGCAGATAGCCCTTGTGTAGCTTTGGGCAAAATTCAAAACAAACAAACAATTGTTACATGCTTGATTGCAGGATGTTGTTCATAAACTCTGTCACAGACGCTTACCACTTCCTATTTTGGAAATGCAAAAACAGGATTCTGCTAGCAGTGAACAGTTACTGACCTATTAACATCATCATTTCTCATTTTAATCATATTCAGTGTATGGAAAATGAATCCTGTTTGTTTGTGAAAACGTATAGAAATGTTGTACATCTGGAATTGTGGCTAGAAATAATAGAAATTTGACAAAAAAGTAAGAAAATTCATCATTAAATTTTAATTTTCAAGGTGGCATTAATCAGAGTTGATGTACCTTTACTGGTGTAACATTTAATGAGTCATTGAAAAATGAGTATTTTTTGTTTGTTTTGACTTAATTAGCTTATTTTAATTATTTGTAGGTTTTCCTTACCCTCGAATCGCTATCTCTTCAAGTGGTCATAGAGTAGTAGTTGTAATGGGATTATGTAAAACATACATATGGCAAGGTGCTTCTGCTCCAAGACCTGGAACAACAACAAAAGGTTCTTGGCTTCCAGGAAACTGGCTAAACCTTCCAGAAGACTCTTCTGCACTCTTACCTAATTCAGACTGCCGGGAAACTTTCATTCAAGCATCATTTTTATGTCATTATTTATTGGGAGAAATCTGCATTATTTCATTTATATTTAATTTTCATGAGACCATTTGCGTCACATTTGGAGTAATTCATAATCTGAATCCTGTCTTAACATCTTCGCCTAAGCCTTCTTTAGACATGTTTTGGCACACAGTGCGTTTTCCATTTCATAGTATAGGAAGTGAGTGCCACCCAATCAGAAGAAAAGGAGCATTTATCACAAAGTTTTCACATGATGCAATGACCCTTGGAGCTGCTGTTAACCAATACAAATCTGAAAGTTCTCAACTTTTGTTTATTTCTCCTTTTTCTGGTTCTCAAATCCCTGTAGATCTTAAAGGTTGTGGTGCAGCACAACCAGTGTTGTCATACGCAAGGTTAGTATATAATATATTAATGTTATTAATTCAAAGCTTTATTGTATGAAAAGAAATTGTTTCTGTTGAATTTCACATCCAGTTTATTTTGAGTCAAAATAATGTTATGTTGCAAGTTCATTTCTTAGTTTAAGCTCTGTATGTTGTTGTTTAGTCTCCCTAATGTTATTAAGTGACCTACCAATTGTTATTTACAGTAATTTCATACACGAAACATCTTATTTAAAATAGGAGAATGACAGAAACAACTTAAAGTTTTTGTAATGAACATTTTTGAAATAGAAAGATTCAATATTTTTTAAGTAAATAAAAATATTATGTAAAATTTTACAGGGAATTCCAAGTAAAGTGTGTCATATTGTAGTTAGAGACTATTAATAATTTTCTAACAGATTTCATTGAAATGAAGTTAGTGTATTTTTCAGTGTAGGGGTCCAGTTTTAAATTAGCAATCTGTTCAATAAAAGTATGGTTATGAGAAAGTAGTCACAAGTCTTGATTTCCAATTTGTTGGCTATAAACAAAGCGTGAAGATTGCTTATTTTGTGAAAAGTCTTCTTTGTCATCTGACTTTTGATTCTGTTGACCATAGAGACTTTCAAATCAACATACACACAAATGTGCATTAACTAAAAGATAGAGTTTTTCTTTATCTCCTTTAAAACCTTGATTATACTAATATCTGTTTGAACTTCTTTTCTAAAATTTAAATCATCCTACTTGGCCTTGTTAAAACCAAATTCTTTATGAATAAAGTAAGAAAATTTGTTGATTCTTTCAAACTATAACAAATATAACTGCTGTTGAAACCTGACATACTTTTATTTGTAACAATTTCTTCTCAACTACAAAAATGTTATCACTCAACCTTTGAAAGTAAATGATATAGTAATTAAAAAAACTTACTGAGAATTGTAGTTGATCTGTCAGAATTCCAGAACAATTACCCCTCCCCCTCTCTTTTATACAACTTACTATGGACAGAAAATATAAAATGCCTGAAAGACTTAAAAACAAAATAATTTCTTTGTTTATTTTTGTGTGTATCTCAACAGCTCTGGAGTTTTGTATGGGATCCGCACTTTTAGCACTTTGCCTTAGGTACACAACACCACATCGAATTAAATTTCTTGCACCTCTCCAGACAAGTTCTCATCTCCAACAAAGTAATTATCTTAAGTATTTATCATTTTGCTTGTGAAATGATTTAACTCCCTCACTTCATGGCCAGTTTTAACATTCATTATACATTTACTAAATTTCAATTTATAAAAAACTTAACACATCAGGAAACTTTTCTTAGATTTTCCAAAATAATACTTTTTTTATGAATCTGTATGAATGACAGCTTAAGTGTTTGTTAGATCTTGGACTTTATGTATCCATACTTTCTTTGTGATACATAAGCATACTTTGTATTAATATAGGAATTTTTTAAAATTTGTTATTTATGCAGGTATATGCAGTTTCCTCTTAACACATTTCTGAAGAAAGTTGTTAGGTTCCTTTTGCTCTAGTTACCTATTGTTATGTACCACTCACTTAAAGTAGAACCTTTTGTTTTCTTATGGTAAAGATAGCTGCAAAGTCACTTGTAGTATGTGAAGTTAAACAGTTATCTTTTCCACTAGCAGTTAGATGATTTCTCTAGGTTATGACCTTCACTGGGAATGACCTGCCACGATAATGATTCTGGATAAATCTAATGTTAACAAGTTAAGTACCTCGAGATTTATTCAGTCTGGAACATGATCTCAACTGGTTTAGTCTAGAACAGGGTATCAACAGAGTTAGTCTTGGTTACAATCTGATCTGAATATGTTAGAACACCAAATTCTCCAGTAAAGACAACTGTGTGTTGTGGCAAGAAAAGTACATTTTTACTATGTTTGTTCAAATAAATATTATTTATTCTGATTATACATTTGTGTTCAGTCACTTTTTATTTCTCATAAACTCAGTCAGAGAATATAGAATTATTTTGCAGTAAATATCTTGATGAATCTCCCACTATTTAGCAGATCTCTCTTGTCACTCTTAGGGAAAAATCAATGCTACCTGAAAATGTCACATTTTTATAAAAAAAAAAAAGAGCTATTGTAATGGCCTCTTAATGATAGCTAACACACACTTTTGTAAGCCAGCAAAGTTCAAGAGATGCATACTGTAATTGAAATAAAGTTCTTTCTACTCCCAGTATTTTTTTATTTTTTTTTCAGTGTATAGTTGTTTAAAAAAAAAGCATGCTCCTTTCGTGGGTTAAAAATACCAAAAGTATTATTTTTTTCTACAAATTTCTTAAGTAAACTGGTTTTTGAATGTGAAAAGCACTTTAAAGATAGACATTTGTAGTTTCTGTTGGAAATGAATTTTTTCATAACACTGTAACTTTGAGGTGTTTTATTTGTAGTGTGTGTTATACTCTTATCTTGACGGTGGAAGAAGTTAGTTTTGGAATCTTTTATTGGTGTGTTTGGTCCATAACTAAATTAAACTGAAGTATTCTTCTTACAAGATGTGAAATTGGTAAGGTTTTGCAGATGTACCAGTTAAAGTCACTCATTTTAAAGTATATTAAAGAAACAAATAGCTTGTTGTCTGGCTGGCAGAATTTGGTTTTCTCTAAATGAAATAATCAAGATTTTCTAATCTCTAGTTAAAATATTGTAATAGGATTTACAGTTCTATGAAATTTTTGTTAGGAGATACTGGATTGCAGACCTAGCTTGGACAGCAGATGATGCATACTTGGTTGGCATTACCCGTCAGGGCTCACTATGTATGTTTACAAGACTAGGAGAATTGTTATTGCTGACTTCCTCTGGATGCTCTATGGACTTTGGTCCTTCTTACTTCATAACTCTTCATCCTTTAGTCACTATGACGTAAGTAGTATAAGAGTCATAGACATTACTGATAATACCAGAAGGTTGAAATTACCACTGACCCAATTGTTACATCATTGAAAATCTTTATCATTTTCTGTGTCTGAATATTTGAAATATGTGTTTGCACTTTTGTTAATGTAACTGCTTCATGCAAGTTTAGAGAATTAAAAAAACAACATTTGAAATAATTTATTCCAAATTAATGTATTTAACTGTTATACATGCACTCTTATCTAACTGCTAAATGTATAAAAATTATGAATGTAGTTAAAATAAGAATAAAAACATTATTTATTTTCTTATTTTTCAATATAAGAATTACACAAAACAAACATATTCTGAAGTTCAGTTATGTTTTTTTTATTATTAAAGCTTTGTCAGAACAAATCCAGGGGGAAATAAATTAATAAATAAAAACATTATTTTGTTGATATACTATCAGCAATTTAGTTTATTGGGTAAAAGTATTTTGTATACCCTAACATTAATTGTAGTGGGAGTTCAAAAATAATTTCTTTTCTTTTTTGAATGATTTCAGATAGTACTAGACAATTACAGTTATTTAACTTAAAAACTTTAGACCTCTTAACTTTTACACACTGCTTTCATTTAATTTATTGTTTTATTGCCCTTTTAACTGTTTCTAACAAGCAATAAATCACCCAACTGAAATGCAGAGAGTTTAAGGTTACATCATACCACATCTAACTACCTGTGTCACAAAATTTCTTTTTTATAATTTTTTGTTGTTGACCAAAAATAATTTATGTAGCTTTAAAATATGCATTTCAGAACCCAAAAAATATACCAGGCACTAGAATAGAATGTCACAAATGTACTGTAATTTACCTGGCTTTCTAAGTAAGCTACAAACAGGTTAGAAAGTTCCATTGCTCTTTGTTGCACCAGCTGTGGGCTACACACACATCAAGATGTACTTGTGAAGTAGTGGCTTTCACCAGGGCAATAAAACAAACTATCATAAGAGTCATGTAGTTCACAAAGTGGCCTTTCTATTGGTTATAAACATATATCATGTACAAGTAGGTTTGAACAAGTAAATGATTTCAAAAGCATGAAGAGTTGGGAGGAGCTTCTGTGGTGGGTGTGATAAATTTGTTGATATCTCAGATAATATAGAAGTTGGAAGGTTCTTATTTTATGTTCTGGCCTGTCAATATCTATATTTGTGTATTTAATTGATGGACACTCTGAAACCCCTATAAGGAAATAAAGAAAATTTAAAAAGTAAATTCAGAGTACAGAAGGAAATGAAGAATGAGAATTTATATAAATATATCTTTTTGAAATTCAGAAATTAAGATGTAGAAAACATTAAAGTTTCAATTGTAAACTATATTTTAATACAAAGTTTGTTGACATATATTAGTGATAAATTAGTTAATTAAACTTTGAATGTAACTCTGGAAAAAGGTCATGACATTTGCACTTTGACCTACCTCCCACCTGTATCCGGAGAATTTATGTGAAGCATAAGGGCTTTATTTCATCAGTGTCAAAAATATTGATTTAAGAGAATCTTCAGCATAAAAAGAGTTTGATTTTTCACCATCAGATACACAGCATTTCAAGTATACTCTTTTCTGTCTAAATCTTCTTTCAAGCAAGAGCCCTGATCTTATTGGTTGTAAAAATTTACTCTCATACTCACTGTGCAAAGCTTGATTACAAAAGCTTGTATGGTAAAATTGGAACATCTTCCCAGTTATTCATAACTTTAACCCATTGACTGCTGATTTGCTGTATAGGTTCGGTCCACCTCTGGCAGTTGAATGTGAGTCTGCTGTATATGGTGTGAGGCTCACAAAAATTCGGTGCTCGTTTAAAGCAGCTGCAGTCAAATGTTTAAATGTTGGCATGAACTAGTGCCTAAATTTTTCTTGAAGGAAGCAGTCTGTAATTTTTTCTTTTTCAGCCTTTTGCAATGTTCATTGTATGTTTCCCTCTTTCTTTTTTCTATCAGTAACAACCGTTATCTTGCATTAATACTGAATTGCAGCACTGAGTCATTTTAAGTTAGGAATACATATTAAAGTTGCTACTTTGATAATAAAAAATAGAACTTGAGTAACCCTTCTTTTAGAAAGAACTTCCCCCATTCTTGCATGCATGCACGGAGGTGGATCTTAAAAAACTTACAAGTATTTCAGCACCATATTACAAAGACATATATTTGAGATATGGAACTCGAGCTTCTTTGTCTCAGGCAATTCAGATGTAGATATTAATGGTAGTTTTTGCATTTGTATTGCTGGAAGTGAAACATAATAAAATTAGAAGCTTTTATATTAGGTCATTTATTTCTGGATCAATGCTAGACTAAAATGCATAAAGTTTACTACTCTATCAAATCAATTACTGTTTTATATTAATTTGGTACTATTTCCATATGCAAGTTTTGTAATCAGTGCATACTCATGTATAACTCTCAACTCCCACTGGGTTAACTGCCTTTATTACCTACTTTGAGAGAGATTTTTGCACCAAATGCTTTATGCCTTTTTTCTTCTTTTCATTGTGTTCATTGTTGTGTCTGCTTGATGTTGACTTATTATAGTGGGTAATATTATACAATTTTTAAATTTTTCTTGTGATTTTTTTTTTATGTTTTTTCTCTGATGACCTGTTTTTTATGTTACACTTACATAACTAAATTTAATATAAAGCTAACCATAATACATTTCTTGATACAGAGTTAAAGAAGAAAGAAATGATATGAACAACTCTAATCATCCCAGTGATACCCTACAGTCCACTCTTTCTGGAGAACTGGTGCTACAGCAGAGATATTCTGTGTCTACACATCCTCAAGAGTCAATAATCTTGGTGTCTGATGGCTATCTTGTAACATGTTTGCAGATACCCTGTTCATCATTTGGCCTCACTAGGGTCTTAACTTCTCTCCAGATGCATTGTCATCAGATGTTGTATCCTGTTATGCATAAGTACACTGCTGGAAATTCTCTTTTAAATTGTAGTGCTCTCAAAAAGTCTGTGACTTTCTCTGAAGCAGATTCTAAGTTCACTAGTGGAATCCGTACACATGTGCTTGATAGTTCAGGAACTCTCTTGTCTAGTCAAACATCCGAATCAAGCCTTGAAGCTGATTATTCACAAACACCTGGTATCTGGGGTGGAGTTAGTGGTTTAGACAGTGGGAAGATAACATTTGGAGATCCTGCGACATTCGACGCTACTCTGAGTGAAGCTGTTATAAAATCCACTTGCATCGGATGGGAGGCACATAACGTTGCAGAAGGTTTGAAAACATTGATCACCATATGGGGAATTCTAGCCTCTGTAGGTTGTCCTTGGACTGTTACTCTAGAGCAACAAGCATGCTTTGTTGTGGACATGCTTGGAAAGGTGTTTCAATTTATTTTAGACAGTGATATTGGTAAGTTAAGAGATTCTCTTTAAGTTATTAGCTACACTTATAATGGAATTAAGTCTGAAAAAAAGAATTCCATGCTGAAGTTACAATGATCAAGATCTGGTTCTGCTGTAGGTTTAAAACTATAACACATAAACTACTTAATATTTTGGTTTGAAATGTATTTATCCACATATTTGTATTATAAACATCAGTCATCCATGGGAAGAACAAATTAAGATCTGTGCTACAAAATTTAAAGCAATATCACCATGAAGAATAAGTGGTATTCACTGCCTATGTTAAGGTAGTTGGCAGTAATTTTTATAATTCTAGACACTGAATGAAAAAATAAAGATATATGATTTGTAAAATGTTGATGTAAGAAACAGCCATTTTAATTTGAAAAAACAACAACATCAAAAATGAAAAACTTGTTTATCAGTATTCCAGAATTTTATTCATTCTTAAAATAAGATAAATTACCTGTCAAAAAAAAAGACAATGTTTTAACCAAGCCTTACATTATTGCAGACTATCTGACTTTTGTTTGGATATAATTATCTGTGTGTGTGTGTTTGTGTGATTTACTCCACTCTTACATCAGGTTATCAAGATTTGGCATGTTTTCAAGTGTTTCATTTAATAGTTTACATGAAAGATAAAACTACATGGACTGTTACTACCAGCTCTTCTGGATTAAATTTAGTTTTAGTTACATTATTATGTTCAGTATTCAGTTGTCACTTGTTCTTTTTTTTTTTTCAGAAGCAATTGATGTTGCAGAAAAAGCTGTGAAGATGAATGAACACCCACTTGGTTTTCTTACAACACAAACAACTTTGTCTGCACTTTTTTGTATCTTGGTGAAGTTTATAAACATGCTCTTGTTTGATTCCGTCCAGTTTAACCTTCTTCCGTCCATTCTTAAGCTTATTAATGCTACTGTGCAGCTAGTTTTGTCATCAGAGGTGCTAAAATCAGAAATGACCACCAGTCAAATAATTCATTCAGTTTTCAGTCTGCTAGAGTTTACTGAAGCTTTTGTCCAAGATAAACTTAGCTATCAAAGTCTTCCATTAATGCCTTGTCATTGCAATTGTAACAATAATGTTTTTTATACTTGCCATAATTTTTACTTACCCTTTATCATACATTCCCAAGATGATGATAATGAAAAAGTCACAAATGAGTATATATCCAGTCAAAGAAATAATGATCAAGATCATTTATTTAGATGGTGAGTATTCTTTTCTCATTAATTTTTAGCCTGTATTTAAACATGTCAAAGAGATTTAACCATTAAGAGTTAAAGTTGTTGATCACATATCATCCTTGGTTAATCTTTGTTTCCTAATTATTCACCTTGAAAGAATGAAATCTGTATTATTATTAATAATGACAAGACCCGCCAGAAAGTGTCTAGTTTTAGTTAATGAACAACACCAGTTTATTGATTATCTTAAATGTTCATTTTTTGTGGTCATTAGGCATTAAATATTTTGATGAATCATTCTAATTCTGCTCAAAGTTGTAAGTTATGCTATGTTCTGTGTGCAGCTAAATACAGAGGACTTGCTGCTGCTTATCCACCTTTTGGTCAACAGTACAACTAATCTTCTGATATGACACCTTATCTACTCTCATATAATGGATTCCTCTATTTGTGCTGCCCTCCATATGTGCAATTTTGGTTTGCCACTAGCCTTGAGTTTCCCACTTAACATCACATGTTTACATGTAGTACTGTTGCATTGTAGCATGCACATGAGCATGAGACAACCCTCTACCAATAGGAGTGTAACACCCACCTAGTGTAGCTGACTCCATCTATAGTGTAGAGCACAATCATCACTTCTCATTTTGGCACAGTAGTGTTAAGATGTGTTAAAATTTTCACTCAAATTTTACTATCTTTGAGTTTAATATTTTTTGTATTCTTTATCCAACAACTTAGTTGTTGTTCACTTTATGTTTTACAGTTATGACATAACTGAAGTTTACCCCAGTTGAACATGCATTCTGAATTTCATATCACTACAGCATTTTAACCAGCTGTGTTTCAGGCTGCAGGCCTTGTGCTTTTGGCTGAGGAGGTCTCAGTTTTTAGACAGGAGTTAAGAGTCCATCACATGGCCATCTGTGTGTCCCGAGCCCAAACCTGACCTTTTTTTTGTCTGGTGAATTTGGGCAATTTGAGGATGATATGGATGGAATTTTTTCCACCTTCTTCCTGGGCAGTGGGTATTCACTACTAGTTTTTGGATAATGGATGTTGACATTGCAGAAGATTACTTTTACATATTTATTTCCCCACCATTTAATATGGAATGAACATCCTACATTTTCTTTTGGGTGGTCATAGCCTTTGCTCAACTAAGTAATAACTAAGGTTTATGCTCCCATCTTTACATGAAGGATGAGCTTTTGTTAGCTACAGCTCAACTAAGTAATAACTAAGGTTTGTGCTCCCATCTTTACATGAAGGATGAGCTTTTGTTAGCTACAGCCCAACATACTGCTCGTGTACACACTCAGTTGCTTCTTCGAGAAGCAACTCATGTGGGATGGCTCATCTCGTGGGAGTAGATTTTGTCTTATACAGACCCAATAATTTATTCACCTGGGAATATTTTTCTCCTCTTCATTTATGGTCGATGGAGCTCGTGGTTCAGTCATCCTTCTTCCATGGCTGGCATTTCTCTTCCACCTACACAGCCCAAATTGCATTTTTTATGGATGCTTCTCTTACGAATTGGGGAGCAATTATGAATTTCATGAAATCATTGGTTCTTGTTCTTCAGTCAAGACAACTGTGCACATCAATATCCTGGGGCACCTTAGTGTCCATTGGGCTTTGAATCATTTCCTGCCTTTAATATGAGGCAAGGTGGTCATTATCCATTCCGACAGTTGTCTCATGTATCGATTGACAAGGAGACACCAGTTCACATTCACTTTGTTTGTGGACAATGGAAGTACTGTTTTTTGGCCCATTTGCATTATACATGCTTTGTGGTATGTCATGTTCTGGGTGTTTTGATTCTTTTTGCTGATTGATTATCTCATCCAGATAAAATCTTTCCCACAGAGTTAACCCTAGGCTCCTGAAAAGTTCTGGTGCTTATGCAACTAGTGGGGTACTCATTTGCCACCCATTATTAATTCCAAACTTAATTTTTACGGTCCCCAGTGCCACATCCATCAGCTTTGGCAGAGGATGCCTTGAGTTGTGATCAGTCCTAATTTACCTGTATGCCTATATTCCTTCTTACCTAAGTTTTATCCTTTATCTAATCTGCTCCATGTTATATCCTTCTTATCACATCTTTCTGGCCAGCTTAATCTTCGTTTCCAATCCTTACCCTCCTTCAATTCGCACATTCGTTACCACTTCCTTTTTCTCAATCTCTCCTCTGTCAACCTCAGTCGCTAGTGTATCATCCCACAGTCATGACATTTCAACTTCACAAATGGTTTTTGGTTGGTCCCTTGAAAAGCAGTATGGACTGTCTGCATGTTTAGCTTCTATTCTTTCCTATTCAGTACATCCTTCCTCCCTCATGGTATATCAGAGAAATTGGTGTGCTTTTTGCCATTGGTGGCTGCATCATGGTTACTTTCCTTCCCCTACTAGTATTTCTTTGTCTCTGATTTTTTTTACCTGTTTGTTGGAAAGAAGTGCTTCCATGTCTACCATTTCTGAATATCCTTCAGTCTTGTCCAATACATTCTATTTTTCACATTCCCACAGAGTGTTTTCCTCTCTGGCCATTTTGATTACATTCCTTCCAGATACTTTGTCCTCATCGTTCTACACTTTTTCCTGAATGGGACCTTAATGTTATTCTACATACCCGTACACAATCCTCATTTGAACTCTTGCATGTCACAATCTTTCACAGTTACATTCAAAATTTAATTAAACAACTTTATTATCAATATATACAAATAAACTGGACATCAAATTGTAGCTAATAAATCAAATTCTAATATTATTTAAGTTTTAAGTTCTTAATTTTATATAGAAATATTTAACAAAAGACCTCAATCTCTATTAGTATGAGAACTGTAATGTTTGTTTATCTTTGCCTTCCCTCTTCTATAATTTATTTGCCACCCTTCTGAGAACTTTGGAATTCAACATAAATTATTCATTATGATATAGGTTTGCTCAAGAAAACAATTTTTATAGCTTTCAATCTTGTTTGGTTTCAGAGCCATAAGCTAGAAAATGAGGCTCCTGTTTTGCTCATCTGCCACATTCTCTCTTTCACAAATTGCCAATAGTTCTCTCTGATGTTTAATATTATATTATTTATAACCAAAGAAAGCCAAAGTTTCAATCTGTCAAATGACATTTTATATTATGTTGTTTTCTGTACAGATGAATGTCAGTTTCATTTCCAGTTCAAACTTTATTCCCTTGGGAAAGACATTGATGAGTTTAGCTGAATTTCTAATGGCTCTTGTTGCATAGTTAGAAAGCCAAAATAATTGTAGTAGTTATGGGACATATTCTGCTTTTTCCATATTATTATTCTGCATTCTTTGGAGCATTATTTAATTATATAAAAAATTATTTATTGCAGTAGTACCATTAATATAAAAAAGTAGGGTTAAATGTCATTGACGGTCAACA